ACAACTGTTAATATGGTGATAACAGTGAGGGTCGTTTAGGATCAGACCAAGGCGGGCGGCTGCGTCTCCTGCAGGCCGATTGGTTCAGAGACAAGACTGTGCTGGACGTGGGGTGTGGTGTCGGTCACGTAGCGCTTGCCATCGCTCGTAAATTTAATCCTGCCCACATCATAGGAGTGGAGCTGGACAAGCACCTGGTCCATGCTGCTAAGCAGAATGTCAGGCACTTCCTGTCACATGACCTGGTGGTAAATGAAAGAGCAAGGAGGAGGGTGGAAAACAGAGATGAGGAGAACAAGGAGGATAAAGAAGAAAAAGAGGAGGTGATGGAGAAGCTCCATAGAGCTCTGTCTCTCCGCTCCTTCCCGATGTCTTTCAGAGTGAGTCGTGGTCCTCTCTCTGCTCCACCCCTCACTCCTGTTGCCTCCTCCTCCTGTTCCTCCTTTTCTAGGTTCCCCAACAACATTACTTTCATCCAGGTGAGTCTTTTTTTGATCGATAATCCTTCGTTTTCCCATTTGTCTCAAACTTCAGTGGTGACATCATCATCCAATGACACTATGGGTTAACTCCTCCCACAGGGTGACTACATGTCAAAGCAGGAGACTTGGCCCGGACAGGGTCAGTACGACGTCATCATTTGTCTGAATGTGACCAAATGGGTTCACCTGCAGTCGGGTGACGGAGGCGTGGTCACACTCTTCAAACGGGTTTATCAGAGCCTGCCGCTGGGTGGATTATTCATCCTGGAACCACAACCATGGAGTAGCTACAGCCACAGCAAGAGGGCCTCGGTAACAGAACTGTGTTTGAAAATAAAACTATAGACGTCTCACTTTTGTTAATTAGTCTGTATTAGAACATGTGTTGTCAAAATACAAGTCTTGCCCTTGTACACTCAGACTATAGTATTATTATAACCATAGTAGGTTGAACAGCAGCTGTGTGAGCTTCTAACCTCTAACTTTTCTTCTTTCCTTTCAGGAAGGGACACGCCGTCACTACAGGAGCCTCAAGCTAAAACCTGAACAATTCACCAGCTTTCTGACCGACACTGTGGGCTTCAGTTCTTACAGGCTGCTCACACACTCTGGTACAGTCCACACCAGCAGCTGACAAAACTATGAGCCTTTCCTTCAGTAAATCACATTCTGACTGTGTGTGTGTTTCACAGGAAACCGAAGGCCGATCTACATGTTTCACAAAGGCCCTGTGCAGAGGAAATGATGTCCAAGTTGACAAAGGATGACACTCACGCTGAAGGTTTGGGTTATAAGCTTGCAGCTCATTGACTAAAATGTTAGTGCCAGATTGATGGCGTCGCATTAGAGGTTAAATGATTGGACCGAAGGGAATTTATTGGTTACCAAAAGTAACACCACTGGACAGCATACAGCAGTAACTGAAAGCTTTTTGTGGCCCACAACTGGTATCAGGAACTCAGACAATGTTTGACAACGTACAGCAAAATCAAGATCTTCTAGTCTTTGTTGCACCAAGCACTACATAATAAGACCCATATTATGGAACAATCATGGGGCAGGACAAAGGTGGCCCAAATAACCCACGCAAGTGCTGAAGGATGTGGTCTGCATTCTGAATACCAGACCCGTACCAGTCAGATTAGTTTGACCCAGGTGAAGGCCAGAGGAATGTTACCCTAAGTCTCTGGACACCAACGTAATATCATCAAGAAAGGATGAGCCCACAGTCTGCATGCAGAATGTCCACGTTTTGGATCCCGAGACAAGGGGGTACCAGACAAGGTTGTTGAGGTTGGACGAACACTTGGGCTAACATAAAGCCAGAAGAAGGTGCCCACACTGTGGATACAAGGTGACAATATGTCCTGCAATGAGGACCAAGCTCCTCAGTTTAGCAGCTGCAGTTTAATGGTGTTTGACACCCAGTCCTGATTGGATGTTGCAGGGAAAGTGACATGAACACCCGAGTCTGTGATTTTTAAAATATTTTTTAAAAATAAAACTTATCAGATGGTATTTGACTGTGTTTTCTCCTGTTTCAAATACATCATATGATCTGTCCCTGTTTATGTTTTTTAAAATAGATTTAAATTTATCAGATTCTTTTATTCAAACAATTAAAAACAGACAGAATTGTATTGTTTTGTTTATTATTGGTTATAGTTTGACAGATAAAAGATGGCAAACATAGTCAGAATAAACTGGTAATAGATAATGTTTCATTGTTTCACCATTTTTGTTGCTTTTCACATAACTGGCATGTGGGATCATTAGATGGCGCTGTTTACATCATAAATGACCTTTAATCCCAAGCAGAAATGTCCCAGAGCCTTTGGACAGTGGTTATGTCATGACTTGGTTAGAAATGCCATTGTTGTTTTTTAAGGAGATAATTTGTGTTAAATAACTTTTGTTTGTTTGTTTGGTTGGTTGGTTTTGGTTAATTCCTTCACTGTTTCTTATCAGATGCTTTTATGTTTCTATACTTTGGGCAAATTGGGTTTCTTAACGGTCTTGTAGTTTAGGTTAACTGTTGTTTAGGTTAGCTTGATGGTTGATGTGTATATGTATTGTTTTTTACCAAGCTGGTCACATCATAAGCTTTATTTTTAGCCAGTTTTAGGACAATCATCCTCAGTGTTTTGTATGATGTTTTCTTCGTAGTATTTTCCACTATCTTTTTGTCTAGCATTCGTTCTGTTTGGCCCTTTAGGCGACTGCTGCTACATTTCTGCTGTACTCTGCTGCTGCTTGGACTCGTCATTTGATGGTCACATTGTTGTTTTTTTGCAAGTTTGGACACCTGACCAAATGTTTACAGCAGAGAACTGTTTTGATGACAGCATCACCAACAGATGGTATTGGGGGAAAAAACAGGCCACGCCCACTTTACTTTTGCTGGCACTCATTTTTTTAATCGTCATTTGATTACTTTAGACAGGTGGCGCTCTTTTAAGATGTTATAATCATTTGATAGTGTAACTACAAACACAACTCTATGGCAGTAACTAAGTTTAAATGTGAATACGATCAAATATTAATTTGTTTCTTGATTGTCAGATATGTTTTGGGTGAGGGGCGTGGCCTCTTACAGACTCAGTTCTATGTCCGCCTCATCTCCATGATACCCGTGGTAGTGGTCCAGCTCGTCGAAGGTCAGCTCATGTTCTCGCTCTGTGCTGCCGTGCAGCTCATGGAGAACCTGGGCACCTGTATTAGCCTGGCCTTCTTCATTCAGCAAGTCCTGGTTAACATTAGTCGTGTCTCCGCCCTCTTCTCTGATTGTACTCTCGACCGCTTCGCTGTGCTGTTTACCCAGGAGCTGGTGAAGGTTCAGCAACAGGGCCTGTGAAGGAGCAGAGGCAACTTTGATGATGACGGCCTCCACCAGACCAGTCCAGACTGACTTTCAGTGACCCAGACTAGATTTGCTGGATTGGTATGTGGACTTCACCAGTTAACTCTGGACCTAATAATTGGTCATGATCAGACTGATTGGGTGTAGGTGGTTCTAGGGTTATTGTTAGTCTGCATCAGTTCTGATTGGTCCTTACAGCTCTAGGTTGGTAACGACTGTTGCCGATTGGTCCTGGCTGTTTTACTTTGAGAGTCTTCAGAGTTGTCAGTGGATGTGTGTGCGTGTGATGTTATGTTGACATCACCTGGTGTTCGACGTCTTCGCTGTTTTCTCCGCCATCACTCTGTCTGTGGTGCGTCCCCTCCATCAGCAAATTAGGTTCGTCCACCCACTGTCCAGTGGAGTTGTCACTGGGAGACTGAGCGACATGGTCAACATAGTTCTCAGAATACAGTACTAGTGTCTCTGCATGTGCAGTACATTGGCACCATAGTCCAACAGTAACGAAGTAGATCCTCCACAGTTTTCTTTAAACCCCTCAAATTGTGTTTGTTTGTTTTTAAAAGCCTCAGCGTTGCCTCACTGTTAATCTACCAGCAGAGGGCAGCAACAGTGACAGGGGCTGAATGTAAACGTTAAAAATTGAAATTTGACAGCTCACCTCCTGGGATGAATCCATCAGTTCCATGGCCTGAGGAGAATGACAGCAGTCAGACACAGAGAAGACGGTGTGTGTGTGTGTGTGTGGGACAGCGATGACTGTGTGTGTGTGTGTGTGTGTGTGTGTGTGTTTACCATGTTTTCCTGGATCAGTCGTTCTCTGATTTGTTGAGTCCCCTGTAAAAATCCACAAAATCAAAGTCCAGACCAACCATCGCCCTGAGGAGTTAATGTGGTGTGCTGCAGCTCCTCGATAGTCCAATAGATGGAGCCATGCTCACAGTTAAGTGACTTCTGGGTTTAGACGGATTTTAGCTGTACTAAAATACTGACTGGGAACTGCAGAGGCCTATGGGTAATACGAAGGCACGGGTGCGATGGCGTGATTCTCACCTCAGAACTCTGGCTGGACTCAGATGATTCTGATGTGGTGGATGACGATGAGGAGGAGGAGGAGTCAGTCTGTTCAATGGCAGCAATGGCAGAAGGCTGCAGAACACACAAAACATTCAACTAAACATGTACGTGTGTGTGTTCAATGAAGAAAAAAAACTAGTACAGGTCCTGACATCCTGGAGAAAGTTTAATTTCGACCTCCCACCAATCTACACAGAGAAGTAAAGGGTGATTGTAGCGCTCATGGTCACAGCAGTTGCTGGCCCATTGCTGCCACCTGTGGGCAGCTCGTGTCAACGAGGTCAATCTGACAACTGTCCCTGGGAGCTGAAACTGTATTCTCTAAGAGACGTGAAGGTTTGTGTCTTACTGTGACAGCTTCCATCTGCTCCTGGAAAAACATGTGGACGTCCACGTCAGGTTCACCTGGTCTCTGCACACACACACACGGACAAAACACACACCTCGGAATCAGCGGTCCTATCAGACTCATCAGCACCGATAACACAATCAAAACAAAGGTTCTCACGGGTGCCGCCTGGCTCTGGTGCAGCAGGCCCACGATGAGCAGAAACAGCCTCATTCTGAGCTGGTGATCCCTGAAGCTCCCAGTGAGGTTCCGAGTCAGTTCAGGTTGTCACGGGTCTGCTGGCTCTATTGGACTCCGACCGTGAGCCGTGTCTTTTTATTGTCCTTTCGCAGGAAGTGACTTGTCATCAGGCTGCTCTGCGTTCACGCCCTCCTCCTACATGGTGGACAACCCTCCATCAACAAAACAACCTGATTGTGCTGATGCTGTGTTACAAAAGCTTATCTCTCTGATAAAAACAAGATGCAAAACAAGAATTTGTCATCATTTCAACACAGCACATTAAAGGACAGATGTGGGTGTGATGTGACCTGGGCTCCACAGGCTTCTTCAACCACTTCTTCTTCTGCACCAAAGTTCCTAAAAAATCCAACAAATGGTGAGATGGTTCTCCAAATTACAGCCCGGTCAAGATGTTCAGACTCTGGACCTGAGGTGAGAACAAAGACCTGGTCTGGTCTGTGGAGACTGAACCACAGACCCTTGGACTGTAGACACTGTGTTTGGAGAATGAAGCGTAGATCAACCATGGTTTAAGCATGGAGCTTCTTCAGTACATCCAGAACATTTGTAAAGATCCAATCATAGTGGAAATTCATCGGCTAACAGAACCAACAGCGTTTGAAGACTAAACAGATATGGAGCTAGTTTTAATGTGTTCATATCATGTAAATACTGCGATGGTTCCTCCACTAAAGAAAACCAAAAACAGTTCCACTGACTAACTTGGGACCAGGGTTAGTTTAGTCAGGAGGCCATGACTGACTGGGTTCACAGAGGCACGGCTGACTGTTACACTCATTCATTTTAGCAGGATCATTTTGATTGGTGTTCAAGAGTCGCGTGAAAATCCTAATCCTCCTCATTGTTCAGGAAAGCAGCTCCATGTTCTGACGACTCTCACACATGCTCTTGTGTCGGCATTCTTTTGGCCTGGCGTCGTGTTCCAGATGTGAGTGCTGCAGCTGTGGTGAACCAGCAGCAACACAAAAACAACAACAAATTCAAACGAGAGCGAAAAAACACATTTCATCATAACCAGCAGAGGGAGGAGTGACAGATTTACTGCATCACACACACACACACACACACAGTTATAAATCTGTGTTTCACACACTGTTACTTCAACAACAAACCACAGAAGACAACTCCACTCACTCTTTCTTTAATTTACGCAAATCTAACGAAACCCAAGTCGTGTAATTAGAATGAGTGACTGTTCTGTAGAACTCCCACGTTCTGACCCGACTTCACCAAAACACATGCTCCACTTCATGAAGTGAGGATTTTATTTGGTACAAAATCAGAAGTACTTTATTCAAGTAGGAGGCGTGAAATATATTTAGAAATATTCAAACAAAGATGATATTCATTATATACAGCGTTGGACAAATGTCCCTGTCTCTGTGTTGGACAGCTCAGCATGGACATTAGGTTCTTTGTTTGGCCTTCACCCTCTGTGTGACTGGAGCTTTTGTCTCTACAGTGTGATGGTGTCAGGTGCACATCAGTTATTGATCACTGATCATATGGCTCTTCAGGGAGGAGCCTGTGTGTGTGTGTGTGTGTGTGTGTGTGTGTGTGTGGTGGTGGTTCCGGCCCCTGCCAGAGGGCAGCTGGTCAAGGGATGAAGATGGTGGTTCTTCCAGAGTCAGTACCAAGGACCGGTCAGCCAGTATCAGCCGTTACTGTGGACCGTTCGTTGAAGGATCATTACATTTTCAGAATAAACCGTCTCCTAGACTTTATTCTGTCAGTATCAGAGTCTGAATGACCTGTTGTTCTGAAACATTGTCAGATTATCTTCTAATGCCTGGACTCTTTTGGATGAACGATGAAGTAAAACTGAAGAACATGTTTTCTCACTGTGTTCCACTGAGACCTGGTGCCAATGGCCTGTGGGCCGGCACTGGTCCCCAGACTGCGGGTTGAGAACCCCTGCTCTTATTGGCTCGTGTTGTCAGCAATGGGTCAGACAGGGGTGTACAAGCTGGATTGGGTGGGTTAAGGAAGCTGAGCGCCACCTGCTGGAGCACAAACAAAACCTGGGAGACCCCAGGTTGTTGCTCTGTCCTCTGGATGTTGATGTTGCCCTGGTTGATAACTGTCTGCAGGTGGAATGCTGTTTCTTATCTAATGTCTAATGTTGGGTCCACACACACACACACACACACACACACACACACACATCATCATTATCATCATCATCTGTCTGAATCACACTGCTCACAGTTTGGTTTCATGCTGCGAATGATGAAGAAATGTTGACAATGTTTTGTTGATGAGGAGGAGGAGCCAACCAACCAACCAACCAACCAACCAACCAACCAACCAACCAACCAACCAACCAACCAACCAACCAACCAACCAACCAACCAACCAACCAACCAACCAACCAACCAACCAACCAACCAACCAACCAACCAACCAACCAACCAACCAACCAACCAACCAACCAACCAACCAACCAACCAACCAACCAACCAATAATATTTGTTACTGAAATAAACCAGTGCCATAAATAATGTGCTGCTCCCTCTGTAAAAGCCCCGGCTTCAGTTGGCGACTGCTGAGTGTTGGCGTGTCTCAGTGAAGTTCAGAGACTTGTCCTCTGCCTTTACTGTCCTTTTTCTTTGACGTGCCGCTGGGAAACTGTTGCTGTTTGTAAATGGTCCAAAACAAAAGGCCGATAAGACACGCGAGGAGCGCCACCACCACGCCCAGTCCTTGAATGGCAGCCATCATGCCTGAATCTGTTCTTGCAGTTATTTTAACATTGAACCTGGCCACACTGGTGGAGAACTGACCAGTCTTTGAGCGCTCCACTGACAGGCACTTGTACTGACCACTGTCCGTCCCTGAAGCGTTCAGGATGAGCAGTCCATCGTCTAGTTGCTGGAGTCTGTCGGAAAGCTTGAGTGGATGGTTGTCGCGCTCCCAGCTGACTGTGGCAAGGTTGGAGGTCAAAGGGCATCTGAGCTTCAGGTTCCCACCTGACCAGGTGGACTGCTCTGTCGTTTGGATGGAATCTGAAAACCAAGAGTCCAGGTTTGAGGAGGACAATGAGAATGTTGACAGTTGACAGTTTGATGACTCTGATCCCATACCAGATATGGCCCACACAACTGGGATGCAAATGTTAAAACTAAGTGTGAACAAGGACTGATTCACCTTGGGTGTTAGGACAAAGGTTAGCATTTCCATCTCGAACACTCTGGATCAGCTGTCTACAATTAAAGAGGCAGAAGAAGAATGTATGACTGGAGCTGTTATCACCAGCATGTCTTTACACCAGCCGACCCTGACCCTGACCCTGACCCTGCCCACCTGGTCGAGTCGGTAAGGGCAACACACTTCCCAGATGACTTGTCCCAGCCACAGTGTGGGTCTCTGGACAGAACACAGTCCACACAGGATGACGATCTGTCACAGCTGGCCAGTGGAATCTGGGCCACACCAGAGTGCGACCCTGCATACAGCTGATTCTGCACATATTTGATCCACCACACATGGACACACACACACACACACACACACACACAGATGGTTAAGTCACAGTCTTACCATGAAAATGGGAAATAAGACAAAGGAAGGAAATGAAATGGCAGGAGGGGCCAGCAGCAGTGGGATTTGTGCATGTGCCATGACAAGAAATAAACAATTTCCTCTGTTCAGATATAAATACAGAAATCTTATTTTACCATGGAATAGGTAGAGATTTCAACTCACCGTGATGCTTGAAAACGTCAGCGTTCTGATTGGCACTCCTGGCTGGAAAATTTGCATTTCCTCAATGGTGAAAATCTCACCATTGTAGTTCACAGATTTCAGCACAGTTCCGTCCTCTTGTCATTATGTTAAAAACAAAAACAAAAACAAAAAACGCCACAAATAACAACGTAAAACACTTACTACTGTTCAAAGAGTTGTTAGATAGTACATGGACACAGGTACGAGGTCTCGACATGTGGTTTGACAGAGATAATATTAGCTACAACAGTCCCGGTACAGACACCAGAGCTAACATTAGCTACAACAGACCTGGTACGGACACCAGAGCTAACATTAGCTACAACAGTCCTGGTACAGACACCTGAGCTAACATTAGCTACAACAGACCTGGTACGGACACCAGAGCTAACATTAGCTACAACAGACCTGGTACGGACACCAGAGCTAACATTAGCTACAACAGCACTGGGACAGACACCATTACTGACCTGACCTTATGGTTCAAAGACCTGTATGCAGATGTGTGAATCAAAGTGAATTTCTTTGGCCCAAAAACCAACCTGTGCTCACGAACATCACATTGTACTTCTGGCCGTCTGCAGCCGTCGTTTGGGTGACAATGATGTGGTTAAATGTAGCCCCCCGTCGTAGTAACAGGGGCTTTCCTCCTATTGGCTGGATGGCCTCGTCCATGAGGAATGTCCTTTTGACAAATTCATGAGTGTCGGGGTTTTGATCTCGAGTGTCATTTATACCCTGTTCACGATCTGTATTGGTGATACACTGACAGAGAAGGAAAAAAAAAACTCCTCAGTGGACTCCAGGACTACAACTCCCAACAACGTAAAGGAGGAGAAGACTTACAGCTCCAGGCCGGGGGGAGGGAACCTTCTCATCATATGGATGCCAAGCAGAAAAGATGGAGGTGATCCATTTTTCGGTCTTGTAATTTCCTTCTGAGAACACTCGGCTGATGTCAGACAGACTGTAGCCACACACAGCAGAGGGGCCGTCTGTGTCCCTGAAAGCATGTCAAATATATTAGGGAGGAAGGAAGGAAAGTGAACGACTTTTTAACCCATCACCAAAGTGAACAGTGAAGAGTGAAGAGTGAAGAGTGAA